TCATCCAGAATCCTAAGGTCGGAAATCTTAGGTGGCCTGCTGGAGGAAGGAACAGACTCCTTCTCTGTCTCAGGGGATAGAATAGCAAAATAGGAGTGGTTGGCCTTGAAGGCCGTCTGTAAGGTCTGTCTAGGGAGAAAGCCCGTGGACTTGGGCTTGGGACCCACTAAGGCCAACTGCTTAGGCTGGTCAGGATGAGCATCCTTCCCAGTTCGGGCAGCATCAACAATCACAGCCTTGCCCTTGTCCTTAGACCCCTTCGGGGTGTCGGGCACGCGGACGGGGCTTTTGCCCTTTCCCTTGGAGTCCCTCCGGCTGGTGGAGGGCCCCCGCTGGTTCGCGCGATGGCGCTGCGGGAGAGCGGGCCGTGGCTTATTGCCACTGATGTAGCAATCGGCCGCAACGTGACCCACATGGCTGCACGAGGTGCAGAACGCTGGGATCTTCTCGTAGATCACCCGCTGAACAAAAGATTCCGAGCCCTGTTCAATCTCAATCTCATGAATGAGCTCAGCTCTCAGATCTATCTCAACGCAAAATCGCGCCACATTAGCCCTCGTTTGAAGGGCTTCGACCACGTTTGTTGTTGCTAGGTTAGTTGTTTGTTGTTGCTAGGTTAGTTGAGTTTCGTTGCTAGGTTATTTTTTTCTTGCTGCTAGGTTAGTTGTCTAATGCTGCTAGGTTAGTTGTCTTTTGTTGCTAGGTTATTTCTTTCTTGCTGCTAGGTTAGTTGTCTTTTGTTGCTAGGTTATTTCTTTCTTACTGCTAGGCTAGTTGTTTGATGCTGCTAGGTTTTTTTTTTTTTTTAGCAAACAACGCCCCGGAAGGGCGGGGGATTGGGCTGGATCCCCAACCTGTACATAGATCAAGGCCCCAAAGTCGGGAGCCCAAAATATCAACGAGCAAGATACAAAAGTCTACAGAGTCTCACTAATGAAAATCACAAATAAAAGAAAAACAAAAAAGAAAAACCGAAAAACAAAAAGAAACAAAAACTACAATACCAAGTCGATCTTCGGGCTAATAGATGCCCGACAAATATGTCTATGCTAAAGAGGACAGAAATCCTAAGCTACCGAAAGCGAAAAGCAGGATATCCAAGCTGGTCCATCCGTACAAGAGTGCGAAGGCGGAGTGGAGCAGTGTCGGTCTGGAATGTATGTGTGCCTGGTGTGGTAGCGCCAAGGCTGGCCAGGTAATCAGCCGGTCTGTTCCCCTCACGGAAAATGTGCGTGACTCTGTGGTGGACTGACTGAAGTAGATCTCTAATGCGCAGAAGCGGGTGCTGAATCTGCCACGATCCCTGATGGCCCGAAGTCAGGAGGGTGGCGACAGCCATAGCATCCAGCTCGATCCATATATGACTAGAGAGGTGGGCAGCAATCTGAAGGCCAATCTGTAGTGCCTGAATCTCTGCATCGTAGCTCGAGGAGGCCTGAATGGACGCGTGGAAAGCGGTGATGAGGGCACCCCTATGGTCCCGAATCAAGCCTCCTCCTCCGGCAAGTCCAGTGTGGCGATCAAAGGAGCCATCAGTGTTCAGCTTGACCCACGGAGAGTCAGGTCGAAGCCAAACAACAGCTCTGGCCCGTGGAGGTCGAACAGGCGGTGGTGGGGCCACCATGTAGCGATGCGGTGGCGTGCAGCCTGTCCAGTCTCGGGCCGTGAGCCTGCCCAATGCGATGAGGAGTGAGATGTGTCTCTCTACCTGCAAAACAATGTGAGAAAAACATAAAAGTAATATCCCTATGCTTCGCACTATTCCTTTCTGTCCAGGTGAACCAAAGGATCAGACAAGGAATGAGGAAGCCCACGTGTCTAAGGTGTGTGCTCTGTGAGAAAAAACTCAGGAGCTCAAAAAAACTGTATGTGGTGGGTAGGGATATATGAGTCCAAGTGGCAAAATGCTCCCACACTCTCCTCACAATCTCACTCCTGAGTTGTCTTAAGTTGCTAGGTTATTTCTTTCTTGCTGCTAGGTTAGTTATCTGTAGTTGCTAGGTTTGTTGTCTTTTGTTGCTAGGTTAGTTCTTTCTTGCTGCTAGGTTAGTTGTCTGATGCTGCTAGGTTAGTTGTCTTTTGTTGCTAGGTTATTTCTTTCTTGCTGTTAGGTCAGTTGTCTTTTGTTGCTAGGTTATTTCTTTCTTACTGCTAGGCTAATTGTTTGATGTTGCTAGGTTAGTTGTCTTAAGTTGCTAGGTTATTTCTTTCTTGTTGCTAGGTTAGTTATCTGTAGTTGCTAGGTTAGTTGTCTTTTGTTGCTAGGTTAGTTCTTTCTTGCTGCTAGGTTAGTTGTCTTTTGTTGCTAGATTATTTCTTTCTTGCTGCTAGGTTAGTTGTCTTTTGTTGCTAGGTTATTTCTTTCTTGCTGCTAGGTTAGTTGT